AAAAAAATTAAGAACTTCTCCTTTTTTTTACATATAATATGCCATTAATAAAACCCTAATCTTTTCAAACATTACACTATCAAAATAATACATGATAAAGCTAAAACAGATATACAATGTTTAGAAAATCCCTACCTCAAAAGTTAGAAGATGAAACAAGCAAAAACTCTAATTTTCAACTTTGTCGGATTTTGATCTCCACCGGTCAAAACGTTGCTCTAACCAAGCTCTTTACTTTGGTCTCAAGAACGTGGGTCTAAAACCTAATAGATTTTGGTGGATCAAAAAGGTCTTATGATAAACCTAAAAGGAATTTGAGAGAGCAGGAGAGAGAGGGAGGAGGAAGCTCTACTTCTCCCAAACAGAGAGAAAGAAAATCAAAGTAAAGGGAAAAAGAGAGGAGGGAGGCAGCCCACATGCTGCCTCTCTTGATAAATATATTTTATTTTTATTTTATTTCAAGCATCTATCTATACATATACACACACACACACACATATATATATATATATATCAATTAAAATTATGTTTCAACATCATTATAATATTTAGTAACATAAATGATAAAAAGTATATATAATATTTTCTCACCACAAAATATATTTTGTTTGATGATGCACACCATAAATATTAGTAACTCTCTCAAGATTATAAAATAAATAATAATAATAATAACAACAACAACAACAACAATACATGCTTACAAACGGGTCATGATTCAATCAATTGGGTCCAAAATGAATGGAATTTAATAATTTAAAATAAATCTCCAATTGAGATTAAAATATAAATAAATTTTAAAAGACTTAAGGTGGTCCCCACCATTCACAGAATTAAATATGAACCAAAATGATTAAGTATGGACTAATCAAATAAGTCTCAAAAATTAAATTTATATCTCATTTATTACTCAAGACTCAAGAATAATTAAAACTCAAAAAAAAAATTGCCAAGTAGGCCTTACGAAGTCGAAATCAACAAGTAATATAATTTATTTTCACCAATTTAAATAGAATGGTCCATGATACCACAACAATAACAATAAGAGCAAAATTCAATTTGATTCAACTCATTACAGTAATTTACCAAAGAAAAAAATAATACCGCTATTAACACCCCATTTATTATTTTGGACCTCCCATTTTTTGACCATTGTTTTAATACAATAATAATCTTAAATGAAATTACTAAAGCAAATGTTAATCATTTTGGAATACCTCATCTTACAATTAAACCTATACGTAAATCATGAGATAAGTTTATCAGAGTACCCATCTCCATCACCACCCATCCATCTTCTCTAAATCTCACCCTCAAAACATTGAGAAGCCTTCTGCGGTGATATTCCAGTGGCAACAATGACAACCATTCAATTACCCACACTTGTTCGGCAATGGCACTAAGTAAAAAAAAATTCAGTAACCTCAACTTAATGAGACAAAAGGAATACAACAATGTAAGTTTAGAAGAGGTTCATATCTTTGATGGTGTTCTCAGCTCAGAGGAGATTGGCCTTGTAAGGGTAAGTTTCTTGAAAAACACATCAAAATGGTAAAATTATTCGTATTTTTTTCGGTACTGAATTCCCAAACATATGACCAAAATTCGAGAAAACATGCCCGATCATTACTTATTTTTTGGAGAACATAGGCTTGAACATTGGTTATTTATTCAGGGACACAAATCCAAACATAAAAATTTGATATTCTTTGAAGGGTTAAAATTGTTCACATCTGCAGAAGTTTTCGTTTTATCAGGTCTAAACATAGCTTATGTTTTCTAGAACACAGGTTCGAATATTCTAAGTGAAAAAGAGAGGAGACAGACTTCGAGAGATAGGGGAGGAGTGAGATTGAGACTGAGCAAAATGCGAATTTGCTCCATTCAAACTATACATACAGATACACACACATAAATATCCGTAGTTTTTAGGGTTTAAGGTTTGATCAAAGAAATTGATGGAATTGAAAGAAGACATATGCACCTAATGCAAAGAAAAAACAATAAAGATCGCAGAGAACATGTTCCTTACACCGATTGATTCATTTCAGAAATATTTTTCTTCTACCGTCATGAGGGCATCCCTTCAGAGTTGGATTTGCTAAGAACTTGGTTGGCCATGGTTGCCAATTTATTGAACTTGAGTTTCTTGTCCAACGTATACTTGCCCCATTGCTTTTGGATGACATTCGTTATTCGAAAGGAATAAAATTGATTTGGGCCAAAATTGCCGAGTAGGCCGATAAAAATTTGAAACGGATTCCATGCCCTTGTTCGGTGCCGTGACGATAGCGGAATGAAACCGAGACAAAGTAGGGTGCTTGGTGATATGTGAAGGAAGCCATTGCACACAATTCTTTGAATAAATTCTGCATTTTTTTCATTTTTTTTTATTTTTTTTATTTTCATTTTTATTATATATATTTATTTATTTATTTATTTATATTAGTTAAGATTTTTTGATGAAATTTCTCTGTGATCATATCAGAAAAAATTTAAAATTTCTCTGAGTTGGGTCAAAATTTTTTTGAGTCGAGCACAAATTTTTCTAAGTCAAATTTTCTCTGGAAAATGTTGAGAGATTCCAACTACTATAAAAATATTATATATCCTTCATTTTATAAAATTTTAATATTAGAGACCTTAAAAGAAATATTCCCAAAAAATACATTTTATAAAACCACTACACTCTGATCTATTTGTTTGGGAAGAAAATATTTTTCATATTTTTTGGTGTTTAGTATAATAAAAAATAAAAGTCAACGGAAAACATCTTCTACTGTCAATGAAACATAAGCTTATTTGGATAAAAAATATTTTCTACTTTTAAAAGGCAGAAAATGTTTTACAGACTAAAATTTTATTAATATCACCACAACACCATCACCACATTCACCATGGCCACTGCCACCGTCACCATCAACACTGCCATTGTCCCACCACCTCCTCCTCTCCTTTCACCTTTTCTCCTCCACTTCCACCATCATGACCAAACATAAAAATATATATATATATATATATATAATTCACTAAAAAATATAAGGATTGAAAACTCTAATAAATATTTTTTTTCTTTTTTTCTTTTTTGAAAATTTCAAACCAAACAGAGTTAATAATATTAGGAAAATGTTATTTTTTAAATGAGAGATTTATTAGAAAATCTTTTTTCAAGTATTTGTATTTTAATTAGTGTATAAGATATTCTTGTATTCTAATAAGTCCTATTATTTGGACATGTGATCCACCAAATCTTAATTCTCATATTTAAGGTATTTTATGGACATTTCTATCCTTACAAACATTTTTTAAACAGTTAGCAATTTGGTAATGTGAATATTCGTATTTTACAATGTGAATATTTACATTGACGTGTGAATGTTCACATTGATAATGTTAATATTTACATTGACATGTTAACATTCACATTGATGGTGTGAACATTCAAATCATGGAACATTCACACTGTAAATGTGAATATTATTATTAGGGGTATTTTGGTAACTATGTCACCTATAAGACTTATTAAAACTTAAGAAAATAATGTAAATTAAATAGAACATAAATAAGTGAAAAGGCATTTTATGAAAAAGTGTCCATTTCTAAAAATTTAATACATAATTATTTACGAGAATGATTTGTAAATAATAATTTAGATATTACGAGACATCTGGATGGATTTATTTTTTTTTTTTAAGTGATGATTTTTATTGCCAATGATCAATTCACAACTCTATCACCTCATTATTTTGTATATATTTTCTATATTATTATCACTTACCTATTAAATTCACAACCTCATAAATAAATACATTTATAATTTGACTTGAAATCTAGTCGATTGATTTGGACAATTAAAAGGTCAATAGTAAAATAAAATTAACTGGAAAGCGAAATTTATCCATCCAACAAAAAAAAAACAAAAGATAGATATGATGTCAAAAATTTCATCAACTCCCCATTTTTTTAAAAATATTCAGTATATTTGGTTTTAGTTTTTTGAAAATTGAGTTTTTTATTTTTCGTGTTTTTTTATTTTTGGTGAATATTTTTAAAATTTTAAGCATTTTTTTTTTACTTTTTTAGATGTATCTTACTTAGATGTATCTAAACGTAAAATATTTGTGAAAAAAATATTTTAAAAAATTAATAAATACACATAAATACGAAAAATATATTGAATTTTCATATTTTTTTTGTATTTTTGATAGTTAGTGAATTTTTTAAAGATTTTTTTACAACAATTATACTTTTTAAGTGTATTTATATTAGGTGTATAAAAAATTTTAAAAAAAAATTGCTGAAAATAATATATAAAAAAATTAGTAAAAACAAAAAAAATATGAAAAATAATAAAGTAAAATTTTCTGAAAAATATTTTCAAAAAACTGGAAACAAACATAGTAATTTTTTTTCAGAACTAAAAATTAAACCTAATTTTTAAGTCTAGTAATATGACAATCAAATATTAAAAGTAATACTCTTTCTCATATTTTCTCTAATCGTCAACCAATATATTACAACTTCCCTATTATTGAATCTAAAAAATGGTTTAAAAAGTGAGTTTGTATATCAATTTATTTTTTTTAATTTCAAAACCGAATTTTCATGAAAACTAAAAATGAATCCATTAAAAATCAAACCAAAACACTCCTTACAAAACAATGGAGTCGTCGATCCACCGTTAATAGAAAGTACATTATTTTCAATAAATTCCAATTTTTCCAACCGTTGCACCCGCGCGATATGTCCAGGGTGTATCAGACAACCCTTCGAGAAATGATACCCTAAACCTTAAACACCCATTCACTGAACAATCACAACTTTTCAACATTATCCCTATTAATTGAAACCCCATTCCCAATTCTCACCCCACAACCCACATTCTCTCTCTCACTCTCTTTCCACAGAGGCACGCATCTTTTTCTCCCTCTTTCTCACTCACCAAACACACACCACATCTTTTCCCCCGCTCTCTCTTTTTTTCTCCACACAAATCCCAAATGGACACAGTGAGGGCATTCTTGGATGAGTACGCACCAGAAAGGAGTGTTTTCTCTAGAATGATTGATCTAGAAATGGAAGTGGACAAGGCAAGGAGGATCATGGCCCATTGGATGTACTTAGAGTCATTAGGGTGCAAAGATTTTCTCAAGAATCTATCATCTCATGACGATGATTTCATTTTGCTACTCTATGGGGAGGCTGAGTCGGCCTTGGCAACCCTTGAACCCGATTCAGTAACACCCATTTCGTCCACCTCCCCGAGGACTTTCCAACTTGCAAACCTTAGTTCCTCTATCTATGAGATTGTTGAGGATAAAGAGAGAGTCTCCAGAGGGGTGTCTTACTTCTATGAGGGTGTTTGCAGTGTGATTTTTGAGGATATTTTGGAGGAGAGAGGTTTGAGGGGTGGGAATGAGAATGTTGAAGGAGAGAAAGTGAAAGAGAAAGAGGAAGAGGAAGAAGAAGAAGAAGAGGAAGAGGAAGAGGAAGAGGAAGATTCCTATAGTGACAGCAAGTCTGAACACAAACTCAACCCTTTTGAAAAGGAATGGATTGAAAAAATAAAAAGGGTTTTCAGTAAGGGTACTAGTAAAAAAGGGGGGGCTATGGTGGTGCCCAGTGGTGGTGACACCGAGTCTAGTGGCTTGGGGACAGACGCAGAAGGTGGTGATAACCCTAAAATGGAGGGGTCAGGGTTCAAACTGAACCCTAATGCAAGGGAATGGTACCCTCCTCCGAGTGATGGTACCGATGAGGAAAGCCGGTGTTTGTACATCACCTTCTCAAACGGCTATCCTCTTTCCGAGAATCAAATTTACTTATTTTTTTCATCGTAAGTGTATATTTTTTATTGTATTTGTAGACAAATTTAAGGGAAAGCAGTTCAGTCTGTGTTTTTTTACTAGGTTAGTGTTATAGAGTTCCATTGTTGTAATCTAATCACTGACTACACACACTTTACCACCAAATTACACTACACCATGTTAGGTTATGGATATTTGTTACCATTTTTTTCATATACATAACACACATACATAGATTTTCTATCTTCTGGGATTAAGACCTCAGGTACACAGAAAAACTTGTTTATAGTTTAGATTAACACTTGACACGATTGAATTAGAACAGATGGGATTCAAATTTATAATTTCTTAGTATTTTATTTATTTTTTATTTTTTTTTAACGGGGTTCTTGAATATACACACTAGAAACTTTTTTTGTTCCCCCTATTTCCACCAATATATTCAACTACAGCATTCTCTTTTTTTTTTTTAAATATAAAATTTGTTGGCTTTCTGAAAGAAAAGGAAAAAAATTCTATAAACAACCCAATTTTAAAACAATAATTCTAGGAAAAGGAAAAAAATTCTATAAACAACCCAATTTTAAAACAATAATTCTAGGAATTATGAAAAATTATCCATAAAGTCAGTGTCAGGTAGAATAAATCTTATTGCCGTTTCAAAAAAAAATAGAATAAATCTTATTTATATATTTAAATTCTGTGTTTTTAACAAAAAAAAAAAATACAAAAACATTATTTTCATACTTGTGGGACTGTGGCCACAAGGTATTGATTTGACAAACATGGATTTACCAATTAAATTTGAAATTTTTTTATTAGACATGTAAATTTAGTTGTATTTTCTAAAAATTAAAATTTAAAAAAAAAATTGTTTGACAAGTTTTTGAAAAAAATATAACAACCCAATTCTTAATTTTATTGATACACCAAAATGTTAAATTCGAATTTTTGAAAACTCTTCTTGCATAAACACAAAACCTAATTATTTATTTTATAATTAATATATATATAATAATATTTGTTTTGATGCAGCATGGAATTTGGGCAGTACGTGGAGAAGATATATATACACAAACCAAGAGACAGTGTTCCATTGTTTGGGAAGATCACTTTCAAAGCTTCATTCGTGCCTGCTGCCATTCTCAACGGTCGAGATGAAGTCAGGTTCACTGTTTTTGGAAGGACTATTTGGTGCAAGAAATACAATCGCAGCAATCGTGGCCGTTAGATCTCATATTTATCTATTATCTAATCTTTTTTTACTTGAGAATGTTTTACTTTTATTATATTATGCGTCTTTTTTTACTTGAGAACTTTTGGTTTTGCTTCTATTACCTTCTTGTTGTAATAAAATACAACAATGCTAGGTATCATGAAAAGTCTTTCATGAAAATGATCATGAAATATTTTTAACCTTTGGATTACACTTAGAATAAAGCACCACACACTAATTAAAGTAATCTACGGATCACAAATCTTTCATGATCATTTTCATAAAAAAAAATTTCATGATCCTTAATATTTCTCAATAAAATAATGTGGGTTTTAGACAACACATCATATTTACCATCTTTTGTGATGATATGATTAGCAAAATGGCCTTTTCGCGGCTTTTTATTGATGCAATTTTTTGATTTTAAGAAAAGTATTTTGTTTAATTTATCCAAAAAAAAAAAAAAGCTACATTACTGTCGCTTAACCTAAGAACAATAACATAAGGGTTGTTGCCCTTTTAAAATTAGGGGGATGCACCAATAAATCCCAAATTAATAACTTATGCACTGTTTAGTCCTAAAAGTTTTCTTGTAGACTGAAAGGTCCCATTACAATGTTAATAACGTCAGATACAATGTTAATAACATCAGAGTCATGTTACAAACATTGGATTTCAAACATCTAATGTTCATCAAATTTCAATAATGTTTGAAAATATAGGATGAAAAACATCTAATGTTCATCAGATTTCAATAAATTTTGAATTTATAGAATGAAACATCAGATCATTTACATCATTCACATCATGTTGATGTAAAAATGGGACTAAATGGAGCATAAGAAAACTTTTAGGACTAAATGGTTCAATGTTTCAAAAACTAGGACTTATGGGTAAATTTTCCTTAAAATTATCACTTCTTATATATAAAAATAAAAATAAAAATAAAAAGTATGGTTGTGAGTCATTTTTCCTTGATAAAGAGAAAGTTAATTTAATCAAAATGGTGTAATTTTGAAAATATAAGTCATCTTAATGAAACTTTGTTTTCAAAGTGGTAAAAAAATGCGAAGTTTTTTTTTTGTTCATATCGCAATATTATAATAATTTAACACAAAATGATATGAGAAGTTAAAAAAAAAATGCCCATTATTATATAGTTTATAATATTTTCGTATATTCTGTAAGTTATTAGTTTCATAGAAGAGTCAAAAATCCCTCTAAAAAGGAGTTTGTTGTTAAAGAATTTGTGCCAATTCCATATCAAAAGATACATATTTTACACCTTGTTACAGATGGCATTAAACACCCCCCCCCCCCCCCAAAAAAAACAACCCCAACAACCAAAAAAAAAAAAATTACACTTCAAAACACATTGAAAAATTCCTAAAGCGACATCTTATCCCCGACTTTCAAGATTGTTATCTATGATTTTAACTGAAAATTTATTTATGAACGCATTGAAAAATTGCTAAAGCGACTTCTTATCCCGACTTTCAAGACTTTTATCTATGATTTTAACTGAAATTTACTAAAATTTTACACTTTTAAATGATGTGTTGAATCTCATTTATACAATACATTTTTCACATTAATATATTTATTGCAAATGAATACTGACAAATTTGCTAGATCATTTAATTTGATAGTTTTGATTTTCTTTTTAAAACTTTATTATTTATGTGCGTGCATATTTATTTCAAATGAATAGAGAGACAAATTTGTTAGATCATTTCATTATTATTATTAATAATTTGATGATAGCTTTGGATTTTCTTTTTAAAACTTTCCTTTTGGACACGTGACAACAACTTAATTGTATTTATATTACACAGTTGTCCATTTAATTAGGTTTTGCTATTTTTGGCTTAGTACTTTTTGTCCAAAAGATAAGCACTACAAAACACATTTGTCACTACATTTCGTGTCTAATTTTTGTCCAAAAGATAAGCACTACAAAACACATTTATGACAACATTTCGTGTCTCACATTGCCACCTTAACTTCGTGGAAGTTCCTGGTAGAATATATGTCAAAATAATATGGGTAAATTATACTGGCACCCTAATGTTTGAACTAATTATATCTCATTTCTTGACATTCTGAAAATTATATTTTCTATTATTGTAGTTAATAGTCTCATTTCACAAACACATGCTTATATAAAAGACAAAAACTCTTAGTAAAAAAACATAAGAAATTATATTGAAAAAAAAAAAAAAAAAAAAAAAGAAGTAAAGCTAAACAAGAAAATAGAGAGTGCATGAGTTCAATATTTTCATTTCATCTAAATATTTACAATAACAGGGAGGTTGGTGTAATTTCTCAAACGTCATTGGTGATATGTATTAAACTCAAATCTTAGGAGATGTAAGGTAATTTACCCAAATAATATCTCCTTCGAAATAATTTCAAATTTGAAAATCTTAATGATTTAAATCGTTTATTTTATATGACAATTTAAGAATATATATATATATATATATATATAATTTAAATTATCAAATATAATTAATTACACAATCAAATTATATATATTATTACACACGAATGGCATATTCTTAAAAATATATCGACTATATAGATAAAAATTATCTAATAACATCACAATCGATGTTGAATCAACTTATTTTACTTAGACAATAAGATGAACAGTTTTAATCACCAAATTTGTCCAAATTAATTCGATAATAAATTAATTTCATCGTGAAATTCAAATCTTCAACTTCAATAAATCAAAACTCTCTTCAAAATGGCATAATATGCAAGAAACTAACATAAATAGTATGAAAAATGAACGGTTTTGATCACCAAATACGTCCAAATTAATTCAATAATAAATTAATTTCACCGTGAAATTCAAATCTTCAACTTTAATAAATCTAAACTCTCTTCAAAATGGTATAATATGTAAGAAACTAGCGTAAATAGTGTGAAAAATCAAATCAATAATCAGTCAGCCAATAATCAATGTAGGAAAATTCTATCAGTTAGCCATAATTTTTTTTAAGGGAAACAATACATCAGTGGAATCAGTAAAAGTTAATTACAAATAATATAATTATTAATATTTATAATATTTTTTCACTTTTTTTTAAATATTTCCACTAATACAATATCAATGGAATTCCCCAATTTTCTAAGACATTCTTATCAAACAAAAACAATTATTGGGGCTCACTTGCTTACCGAACACCTCATGGCACTTTATATATCCTGCCTCCTCATATAATTTTTTTAATGGATAAATTATACTCTAATCTTTCTCGATGCTGGGAGAAAATATACTAAACTCTACAAATTTAGCAATTTTACAATAGGTTTTTTTTTAATTTTATTTTGTATAACACTTGATTCTTTTTTCATCAAAAATTATCAATGGAATTCCCCAATTTTCTAAGACATTCTTATCAACCAAAAACAATTATTGGGGCTCACTTGCTTACCGAACACCTCATGGCACTTTATATATCCTGCCTCCTCATATAAATTTTTTAATGGATAAATTATACTCTAATCTTTCTCGATGCTGGGAGAAAATATACTAAACTCTACAAATTTAGCAATTTTACAATAGGTTTTTTTTTAATTTTATTTTGTATAACACTTGATTCTTTTTTCATCAAAAATTCATTAGTCGCATGAATAAAGAAATAATATTATTTCTTTAACATTGAAATATATATTTTGCATTGTGTATCTTCGTGTCTGTCTCCTATCATTTGCATTAATTTTGATCTCTTTAATATTATTAAGGAAGAGATCAATATAATAGTATTAAAATTATAAAATTTAATAGAATTTACCCCTAAGTCATATTATCAAAAAATTATTACCAATTTATAAAAAAAAAATTATAAATATAATTATTAATTTGTATAAAATTGACCATTTATCGGTAATTTTTTTAAAAGTGTACACTCTACTGAAATTTCCCCTCAAATTTATTGGCCTTATCTCTTGAGAAACAATTTTTGAAAAAAAAAAATTTAAAATTTGTTTGGTTGAAAAATTTTGGAAAAAAAAAAATCAAAACCATTTTTTTTTCTACTACAAATTAATCAAGAATTTTTTCTCTCTCCTCTCCTGTTCTCTCACATCCTATTCATCAATCACTCAATTTTTCTCTTACATATATCTATTCAATTACAAAAAAATTTAAATCATCCGAAATTTTAAAACTATTTTCAAAATATACAACCAAACAAATTTTTAAATTTTGTAAATTCTTTTTAAAAAATTATTTCACAAATACAAATCAAACATGGCCAATTATATTTTTTCCAAATATTAAGAAAACATGTAATTTATTTATTTATTTATGGAGAAGGGTTCTCTCTAGTTGGGTGTTGTTGGGCCTCTATGCACCCATCACAAAGCCTGTATCGATGATCCAAATTATTTAATATGTAAAACTCGTCGAGTATTTTATCTTTATAAAAAATTACATTGATCGGATATCAATAGTCACTTAATCATATTATATTTGTATAAGTAATTTATTTTAAGAATTATATTTACCGTTAATACAAATGTAAACAAATTAAGTGGCTATCAATTTACAATCAATATAATTTTTTATAGAAATGAAATACACAATGAATCTTACACTTTGAATAATTCGGATCATTGTTGCGAACTCCATAATGAACCCACATAGGTCCAATAACACTCTCTAATCTGAATTGGACAGAGAAGCCTTCCTCTTTATATATTCAGTAGTGTTACATGTATCAATTGTTATACAAATTAATATACTAACATATCCTATAATATTATCACTTTAAAATTATAAATCTCACCTATTTTACAAATTATAATAAATTAAAATCTTTAAAATTATATTATATCATCTGTTATACACATAGAGACATTTTGGGAAAAACTTAAAAAAATTAATTTTTGAACTTTCTAACTTTTTTTACACAAAAATTCACAAAAAAAAAAAGAAAAAAAAAATTTTGTGGGCCTCTTTCAAAAACATCACATAGCAATTAATGTGTTTATTCTTATTTTCTTATTTATTTATAAAATGAGGGGCTCTTTCAACGAAAGAGCAACGAAACCACGTGACCGAATCCAGTTTTGGACCGTACGATTTGCCACGTCATCTCCCTACCATGTCGACTTCATTTTGCTCTCTCTCACTCTCTCTCTCTCTCTCTGCGTCTGTGTATATATATATATACTATTGTTTCTCTCTCTCTCTTTCTCTCTCTAAGATTGTTGCGTTGCGTTGCTTGTTTTGGTGTGATCTGAAACCATTGACCCGAAACCGATGGGCTCGTCTGTGAGAACCGTAGAGGGGAAGCTAAGCCAGAACGTCGTCGTAATGAGGCACGGCGATCGCATTGACAACTTCGAGCCGCTCTGGTCGGCTTCTGCGGCTCGTCCTTGGGACCCACCCCTAGTTGATGCTGGCTTGGTCCGAGCCTTCTGCACGGGCCGCAAGTTCCGGACCCAACTCGGCTTCCCGATCCACTGTGTCTTCGTCTCCCCCTTCCTCCGCTGCCTCCAAACCGCCTCCCAAGTCATCGGCGGCGCCGGCGATTGGTGGAGCTTTGAAGCCAAAATGGCGTCAAGTCTTCTCCATCTTCTTAAAAGAAAAAAAAAATTTTGTGGGCCTCTTTCAAAAACATCACATAGCAATTAATGTGTTTATTCTTATTTTCTTATTTATTTATAAAATGAGGGGCTCTTTCAACGAAAGAGCAACGAAACCACGTGACCGAATCCAGTTTTTGGACCGTACGATTTGCCACGTCATCTCCCTACCATGTCGACTTCATTTTGCTCTCTCTCACTCTCTCTCTCTCTCTACGTCTGTGTATATATATATATACTATTGTTTCTCTCTCTCTCTCTCTCTCTCTCTTTCTCTCTCTAAGATTGTTGCGTTGCGTTGCGTTGCTTGTTTTGGTGTGATCTGAAACCATTGACCCGAAACCGATGGGCTCGTCTGTGAGAACCGTAGAGGGGAAGATAAGCCAGAACGTCGTCGTAATGAGGCACGGCGATCGCATTGACAACTTCGAGCCGCTCTGGTCGGCTTCTGCGGCTCGTCCTTGGGACCCACCCCTAGTTGATGCTGGCTTGGTCCGAGCCTTCTGCACGGGCCGCAAGTTCCGGACCCAACTCGGCTTCCCGATCCACCGTGTCTTCGTCTCCCCCTTCCTCCGCTGCCTCCAAACCGCCTCCCAAGTCATCTCCGCCCTCTGCGCCGTCGATGATGTCGACCCCACCGTCATGACCTCCGATGGCCTCAAACTCGATCCCTCCAAGCTCAAGGTCACATCTCTCTCTCCTCTCTCTCTCTCTCTATATTTATATATATATATGAAAGTATATGTATGTATGCCTGTGTGTGTGGGTGCAATTGGTGTGTATAAGGTGACTGATTAATTGTGGTAAGTGTTTGATTCAAGTTTGTTTGGTGTTAGGATTTACTTGGAAAAAATGTTTAATGATTGATGGATTTAATTGGGATGTTTGTGAGTTAATTATTGAAATCATTGTGTACACAAATTTCTTGTTTGAAAATCAAGACAAATTTTTTAATTAATTGGTTTTTGAGTACATATCTTTTAAATAAAATTAATGATCTGATTCTTCTCTTCCATACATTTGACTCATATGTGGTAGAATCTTCTACAAGTAGCGACCGAGAAACAGCGACAAGATTACTCAAATGAGAAATTTCTTTAAGGCCTTAGGTAGAAGCTTTGATCTATTATGAATGTGGGTGGAAGAGAGTTTTGGATTCTATCTGTTTGATAAGTATCTCTATATTTATTAATTTTAAAGAGATAAAAATTAATAATTAATTAACTATGTGTAGTCAAATTTTATTGGAGGAGATGTTTGATTTCCTCTCTTGTATGCCATGTATGGAAAATGGCGTAATTTGATTAGCCCAATGATTATTATCTTTAAGGTAAGAGTTTGTAATTTGTCTACTGCGCCCGACACATAGTGAGCTCTATTAGCAGTATGACATTATCATCATATTTCCACGTGGCAAACCCTTGAAGCACCATGATGTCCTTACAAGACTAATTGGGTTTGTATGCCTAGCTGAAGCGAGGGCGTAAATACCACCGAGTATTGCTGCCCAACTCACTAGCATGGTTGCCACCCTAGCAGGCAAGAGCTCCAAAGTGAATATGAAGAGCTCAATGCATGGCTCGCAACATAGCGATGGAGCCAATCTCACCCGCTTAGCCATAACTTGCTTGGTAGCCTAACTTTTGGGTCACCTATGCACTCACTTCCTAAGTTGGTATCACTCTGCTCACTACTATCATATTGATGTAGCAAAAAAAGCAAAATAGTAACGATCTTAGAGTCTGTTGATTTAGAATGAATACCGAAAGTAAAATCCTTCTCTAGACTCATTAATTCCCAAGGAATACCGAGAATAAAAACTCAATAATGATTGATTCAAAACAAATGCCCAAGGTTGGAAGAGCAAAAACTAAACTTCTTCCTTGGTTGGAATCAACCTTTTCTATTTCATTCTTCTTTGGCTTAAATATGAAGCTTAGGTGAGGACTTTGCCCCCTTATAGTTGTCTTGTTTATTCCCTACTTTACAAGGATCTTGGACAGGCAGTCCTTCCATTTGTTGCAATGTTGAATTTCATATCATGGCAAGGCATGCAACCAATTCTTCCAAGGTTTCAATCTTGATTCCTTAAAGAATATTCTGTATATCCAAATGCATATTCGGAATACAAATCTCAATTGCAGAAGTTTGCATAGCCTATGCTTGCAATTAAGATTTGAATTTCTCCAACTATTAATGTAATTGATGGTATGTTATCTTTCCATCAGCGAGAATTGGTAAGCTCAATCATATTGACAGTACGACGCATGCTGTGAAACTGATTAAGAAATTTTGTTTCAATTGCTCCCAACTATCAATCATACCAGGCCAAAGATCACAATACCAATCAAAAGTATTTCTCTTGAGTGTTAGAACAAACTGTTTGACAAGAAGATCTCCATCAGTTCCATTGTTATTACATGTTTCTACAAAGTAAGCAATATGTTGCTTTGGATTATGCTTGCCATTGAATTGATGGAATTTTGGTGGTTGGTAACCAACGTGTATCTTCAATTAATCAACCATTTGAGTGTAGGGTTTAGCATATGACAGAGAAGATTTTGGGCTCCCTCATATTTATCCTTAATTACACCTAAAATGAAGTTCTTCAGCTGATCAATGCGAACATCACCCAAAAACTGCCTGCAGGTTTTTGTGTCTGTTGTTGCTTGTTGAAAGTTTCAACAATATTTTGAGGCTTTGGTGGATTTGCGGTGGCTTGATTCTCCTATATTCTCTATCTTATTCATTAGGGATGCAATTTAGACATCACGATGTTGCACATACTTGCATAGTTCGTCAATAGTTTTTAAGGGAGCAACTTATTCTTCCAAAGCAAGAATGTTTGTTGTCATAACAGGTATGATAGTAAAGCGAAAGATCCAGTAGAAGCATGAAATAAATTGAGCTTTGATTGGGGAGTGTCAAGTAGAGGTAGAGTCAGAGCTACTTAACTCGCTGTCCTCTTCATGATCTTTATGAATTCAACACTGTTTAGCCGATTCTTGAGACATGGAAGGGTGCAATGGATTTCCCAGAATAGCATTATCTACCTTACATCCCATGGAGCTTAATTTGTGACCTATTAGACAGGTGGCAAATTTGCAATGTTTAATTTGCCAACAATTATGTCATATCTTTAGGCCTTTGTAACGCGTGGCAATTTGTATTTTGCTAAAAAAAATTGATGTTTTGTATTTGGCTAAATGTGCATGCCTACAATTGTAAAAGCAATCGACTGATTTGTGAATTTATTTAGAATGTGTATTGCAATGATTGATGGTGATTAAATTTGATGGGTGTATTTAGTTAAAATTTGAAGCTATGAAGATTGAAAATTTTAATTACTTGTTGAGTTTCCAATGAAGATGGTTACCTCCTGGAATTTTCGTGGTTTTATGACTCTGGAACTGTCCAAAATATTAAATCAGTAGTCATCTTTAATTGTTACATTCATGTAAAGAAACGTAGATAATGGCATTAACCAGTATGTTCCTATTGAGGAGAAAGAAAGGAAGGACTGTACGACCTCCACGCCCCCCACCAACCCAAAAAAAATGTTAAGCCCTATATTTGGTTGATCTTATGGAGAAGTTTATGGACTTGAGTTTAGTGTAAGTCAACATCCCAAGACTTCAAGTAGGGACACTGGCTAAGGAATCAATGGCTAGAGTTGGGTTCTCTGACGTGGTATCCCACCCCCTTGAGACCAGCATTGCATTGCTCATCTTGGTCAGAGCATCATTAATGTGTGTGTGTGTGTGAATGTGTGTGTGTGTGTGTGTGTGAGAGAGAGAGAGAGAGAGTACCTTATTCTTGACACTCTCCCTTTGTGTGCCATGTTGTAGATTAAAGAACCTTTATTCTGAACAAAGTCATTGCATGAACTGCTGATCAAAAAAATAGTTATTGCCTGTACTTGCTGTTATTTGACATGCCTTACCAATTTGGTTACAGCCAAAGGCCACCATTGATTCTTTCATTGTTCATTGTTGCCTCTAGTAGTTTCACCTCGTAATTGAGTTAATCTTTTCGGCTAGCAGAATCTGTTCTCCATTGAAACAGTTGTTGCAGCTCAGGTTCCCTATTCAAAGTTTGTAACCCATTTTCAAGCAGTTACTATTCACTTTCATGCTTTGTTCCTTCTCTTAATAGGAAAGCTTTTTGGCTATGTTTGGATGATAGGAATCTTGTGGGGAATGGTAATCTCATTACTAGTAATAAAACTCTGTCAATGATATTCAAATGTTTGATTTCATTAGGAATCCACAATGGGAAAATAATAAAATTACAAATATTGTGGGCCCAATTATTATTTTTCTCTTAAATGGCTAACATTACTCTGGGAATGTAAGATTCATGCGGAACTGGGAGAATTGGATTCCTACTTAGTTTGGGAATTTGAGTTCTACTGAATAGATAATCAGGAATCACTTTCATAATCCAAACGCCAGAATCATTCAGATCCGGAATCACATTTCCATTCCCCCTCAAGATTCCTGTCATCCAAAATTAGCCTTAGGAAATCTGATGGTAAAAGCAACCACTTTCTCTTAGAGCATAGAGCTCTAAGCTTAAGTTTGTGTTCTCTTTGGGATCAAATGGTAAAAAAGTCATTTTCCTCATATAGCTATAAGCTTCACCCAACTTGGTGAGCTTGGGATTGTTCCTATAATTTCTTTGCAAATTGCAATTGGCACCCTATAATTTATCCTCTCAAAAAGGAAATGACTGAATAACTAGAAAAAGGAAGATTAAGTTCAATCATTGCAATTCATTGGAAATAATTGCTAGTACACTGAAGCGGTATCATTTTGGATTCAATTTGGTTTTGGCCATATGGAAAGGCTATGTGATCCTTAAAGTGATTTGTAGACAATCCCCTCTGCATATGCAAAGATGAAATCAAATCAATGAAAATGTGTCGGGTTATTCATGTAAATGGTATTTGTTATTATATCAAGAGGGTACCTTTGTGTAAGTTCTATCTGTTTTTGTTGACATTCAGTAATCATCAGATCCACAAGTCATATAGTTTTCTGCTTGAACTTGTTTTGCACTTTTTTCAGGTCTCTATTGAGTATGGACTGTGTGAGATGTTGAACAGGGAAGCCATAAGACCTAACGTGGCTCCTAAAGATGGAGATTTTGGTTTCCATACCTCAGAGCTTGAAGCAAAGTTACCTGCTGGGACAATCGATCACTCTGTGGAACCAGTGTATGAAGAGGTATGTTTAGACAGTAGAATCTAGCTTTTCCATTTTCCCTTCTAACTCCTACCAAAAAATAAAAAATAAAAAACAAGAAGCTTCTTTTTTACTTGAAAATTTCTTTCCATGTATATTAAAGATGCAGCATCTGCAAAATTACAGTTCTTCTATTTGCACAAAAACCAATCACAAAACTAGACACAACTCTCTCACATGAGTGTGGGACCCACCTCATGTGAGAGGATTGTGTCCGGTTCTGCGATCGGTTTCCATGTTCCTAGATTGCTTTGCAAAGTTATTGTTGGTGCTGACAGATTATTGCTTGACCTACTACAGTTGCCACGATGGGAAGAGACAGTGATTGGTGCGAGGCGTAGATATGCCCAAATTATTAGGGCCCTGGCAGATAAATTCCCTTCAGAAAATTTGTTGTTTGTCACACATGGTAAGCTTCGTTTTGGTGGGGTTACTTCTTGGATTCTAATTGACAGCTAAGATACTATCTGGTTGCTTTGTTCAGGACAAGATATGATCTCTGCTTTACGAACTTGAACATAAAAAAAAACAAAAAAAATTAAAAAACTATATTTGGATCCCATATCTTTGTTGATGATATCAAACAAGAATGCTATGCTTTTTTTTCTTTGTTTTTTAGCAATTTTCTTGATCAAGTGTGTGCATGGCATTCATTCAAAATGACTCTGCTTCTGGTTTGTATGTTTAGGATTTGAACAAATGTAGTTTCAATTTTTCAGTACAACCCTTCTTTCAGATCCGATAGTCATAAAAAAACAGAATGAGATGTTTGCTTGTATGTGTGATCTAAAATCTGATTTGTTTTCATGCATTTTTCAATCGTGCACCTACTGGTGGACGCAGGCGGTGGTGGGAAGGGGCCATGGCTAGGGCTACAAATGAGCCAAGTTGAGTCTAGCTTTGCAAGGTTCAAGCTTGGCCCATTTGTTTATCAAGTTCGAAAGTCATGCTCAAGCTCGGCTCAAAGCTTGACAATAAAGAAAAAGTTCAGCTCGAATCAAGTTCTGTTTGCTTGTTTATTCTATATTAAATATACATGTATAATACATTTTATATCATTGAATACATAAGTAATATATTTATCTTATTATTTAAATGACTTGTTTATCAAAAAATTCTATAAATTTGGCTTGAGCTCCTTTATATACATAAGGAACCGAACCGAGTCAAACGCTTACTGAGCCAAGCCGAGCAACAGCCCCTAAACTTCAGAAAATCCCATATAACACTATTTTTAGGTATTTATATAAGAAATTAGCTGTTTAGCCCCTTCAAATTTCAGAAAGATGCCTATTAGCTCTAGACTATTTCAGATATCTATATATGATATTATATTTTTGGCCTCCTCAAAATCGGAAAATTTGTTCTAGCCCTTCCATAATATGAACAATTTTGCATCATTAGATGAATTCCTGGCTCCACCACAGCATGCACATGTGTTTTGATTAGTAACAGTGTTATGCATATGCAGGGGAAGGAGTCGGGGTTGCGGTTTCTGAATTCATGAAGGACATTAATGTATATGAAGTAGAGTATTGTGCATACTCACACTTACAAAGATCCGTCTCTGTTGGTGAGAACAAGTCATTTACTGCCGGAGAATTTGAGGTGCTCATACACAAGACTCAAACCGGTATCAGCTACTACCCAAGCAACATGGACAAGGTCGGAGGTGATCCTTTGGCTGAGATAATCCCCTCTTGAAGAATTCCTTCATCCATTTATTGTCACATCAGAATTCCTTTCGGGGACATCCTACATCCTCCTGGTGCTCCGCAGGTTTAACAAAATTTGTTTGATGGTGTCACGATTATTTCAATAATTACTTTATCTATTTTTGTTTTTGGTTTTTTTGGTTCATTGTATTTTTGGACAGCTGGTGATTGAAAATGTATGAATGTTGACAATAAAAATAAATAGGTTGTTTTGCTCTTGAAATGCATCAGATGATGTTTGCTTCTTGGTTATTTTTGTGCTTTGCAGAGCTGGTGGTTGCATTATATAAATGGCCTTGTAGCTTTAGGACAATTCTGATCATTATTTGGAATTACAATTATAATTTCTTAAACTTTAAACTATCACTCCTTTAAATAAAGAATGAAAAATTTATTTACAAGTCACTAGCTTGAATTTTCAAGCTCTTTCTAGAAGAGGGAAACCATTGTGGGACTTTTTTTTTTGAATTTATATATAAATTCTTACCCTTTATTTCGTGTTGGTTAGCGAACAGTCACGTGGTAGTGGTAGTGGTAGCGTCATAATGGTGATAGTATAGTGTTCAAGTGGCGACAACGATGATAGTTGTGATGGTGGAAGATTTGACTTTTGTTTAAAAATTTATATCTAAACAGTAAAATAATGTGTACTAAATTTTTTTGTAATTATATTAATAAAATTACCCCACAAAAATACACATTGTTATCACACACAAACCCAATTGTGTATTACCCTTCCCCTTACATGCACTGTGCCCACTATCAAACCAAGTCCCATCACATCAGAATATATAATTTAGAAGTTAGTTACAAAGAATATCTAATATTCTTCATTTATCTTCTCCAGCCAACACCCCATCTCCATCTCCCAATTACCAGCTCTGATAGCTATGTGTCTGAAAAGAAAAACAAAGACACTCCTTTGCCTTTTGATTTCCCAAGCTGGCCTGTGCAGACTGTTTAACTCCCAAGAACATTGCTACAAAACAATGCATTAGCACTAAAAACACTGTTCAACCGTACAGCTCTCAATATCAAGATAAATCATTAATTATTGTTTTATCAAATAGACAAAATAATCCCAACACCTACTCTTACGCTTTTTAAATTATTCTCATGTTGGAGGTCACCATAAGAAATATTCATATCATTAAATCGATCAAAAAACGCATCTAAGGTTTTCGTAAGATAATTGTGTACGCTAATACAAGCAATAACAATCTTTTTTTGTGTACTAGAAGGATAAGGCAACATCTTCTTTATTATTAAAAACGAGCCTTAATACGCCAAAAGCATGTTAGATCACATTTCTTAACTTAGCATGTGCTTGGTTGAATCTCTCCGCTTTTGTTCTAGGACGACATCCTTTTCAAAATTGAGACAACCAACATATTACACTAGAATAAAGGGTCATCATAAAGCCACCAATATATGTATATGTTGCATCACATAAGTACTCTACACGAGGACAAAAAGATTATCATGATATATATATATAATATGAGTGATCAATTTAAAAAAATCATTCTCTACCCTTTCTCAATAGCCTAAACAAACGTGTATACCATGTCAAAAATCACATAAGCCTGATGTTCAGTGACTTAAAATGTTTAGCCCTTCTGGATTGTGACATAGCAAGAGGTTCTTAAACAAATAGATGGTAGCAATCCAAATCTCATTATCAATTGCAGATATTCATATATTACAGATTACAGAACATTAGAGAGTTGTTAATAGAATATTCTGAGCAAACACTTTTGTTGAAGAAAAAGAATGTTACGGTTGAAATAACTAGTGTCATAGGAAGAATGGAACTTACAGTGAGCTATTTTATATGTCAATCCATGTTTCTATGTCAATCCATGAGGCACCAATCTTACCCTAAGAGAGAGAAGAGGCAATCTGTCAAATTTAGATCACAGAAAATGGGTTTTAGAACAGAGAATACATAGCAATAACAATCATAACCATCTGTCCAATTTGTAGCTAAGAACACTAGAAGAGGTTTGGTTAACTTTTTCCTCAATTCACATGAAATGAACCTTTGTCCTTTGTGCTCCATACATCACTACTTAGCTGCAAGGTAAACCCTATAAATCACACAAACACCAGCAAAAGTTAAGATGTCAGAGTTTACGATTCGCTCCAGAGTTCGCCCCTTTAACCATTGGACTGTCTGCGTGGGTTGATGTGATCAAACATAACAGTTGAGAAGTTGTTGAAGGAGCTGACCAAGGTCACTGGTTTCTCATTGTCTCCCTTTTCAACATCCTTCCAAACCAAAATATGGTGGTACAAGAGGAAGCTGTGATATGTTACCAAGATCAGCATTGGCATTCCAAATGCATCCAGAAAAGATCATGTCAGCATCTCCCTCCTTACTTTCAATCGAACAAATATAATTCATCGTAATAATTAAGTGTATCTATTCATTTTCATCCCATAGGCTTGGTGCTTTACTTTACTTCAGGTAAATGATGGGTTGTTGGATTCACTTTAATACAGTTATGTTTTTTTGGCGTGGTCTATCAATTTTGATATTTATCTATATTTTTCTTTTATTAGAAAGTTTCTTATATTTTCATCAAATATCTTCAATACCTTATAGAGAGGAGAATCTCTGGGGTAAAACTACTCTGGAGGGGGAGATAAGCTTTGTCCATTAAAGGTCTAATTTTATTGACAATTATTTTAGTTAAGATTTTAGAATGAACATTAGGTCTAACTCCAGAAATAGTATCCAGATTTTCAATTTTGGAAATAAAAGCAATAGAAGTCTTTTTGATCTCTTCGGGATTAACAGTATAACACCATTATTGAAACAACTCATTAGTAATTACACAACCACACCCCGGGATCTGTGGTAAGAAAGTGGACTGGAACCTAAAAGCTATGGGCGCTCATAAAAAGGTGCGGTGTCCGTGTGTTGAACACTTCCCAACATTCATCAGACACTTCCGACGACATGCATCTAATTGTGAGCTATTATTTTATTTTAATTCTTTACTTAGACATTGTTTTGGACACTTAAGAGGCCACATATGTCCACTTAGACTAATCATGAAACACATTATAAGTTCAAACAAAATAAATTAGGAACTAACAATAAAAGAAAATTGATGTAAATTTATACCTATTAATCAATTCTCCTTTAAACTTTAGAAACTCATGTTCTTTTGTATATTTTTATTAACTTCAAACAAATATGTAACATGCAATAAATATTTATATACATGACATGTAATAACTATATAAAATCATATATTTATGTAGATGTCCCCCACATGTATCCTGTATTTTTTGAAAATTGTCATGTTAGTGTGTCCGTGTCATATCCATGTCGTGTCATTTGTCCATATCCGTCTTAACTCTGGAACCCATCAGGGCCAGGAGCTTTAGAGGGTTTAACACTGAGAGTGAGAGCATCCTTCTTGATCCCAACATCACCCAATGGAATGTTGAGGCTCTCCAAATAATCAAACAGAATACAAGCTCCAGGGAATCTCCTCTCAACATTCCTTACAGAATCATTCTCATCATTCTGACGGTTCTTAAAATAGAAACTTATGTTGTCTTTATACCGTGTTTGGATCATGGATTTGTGGAGGAAAAAGAAAAGGGATGAGAAATCCCTCAACAAATCCCTTCACCAATCCAAGATCCAAACACAGCATCATTAATGAAGGTGTTTGGGAACCAATTCCATGACAAACATGACAAGCAACAAAGGTTAAGAAAATATGTTTGTGTGAAATACTGCAAATTATTTGTGGCACTCCAATTATAGTTATTGATGCATACAAAAAATTCAGCAAAAGAAAAGCCAAAAAAATTTATACTGGATTATCCACCACCACTGATCCAATGACCAAGGAGATCACCATCTTAGCCAACCCAGACAGTTACACTGCAACAGTATTGTTTGGGGATTTTCCAGGACATGTTTAAGCTTCTTTATTTTTTAGCTTGTATATTCACAGTAGCCACACTCAACAACTTCACCAAACATCTGTATGCAACTATTTTACTATAAGGTGTAATAGATATGGCCAGATTTTAATTGGGTGCAAAGAGTACCTGGTCAGAGTTTGTTGCCCCTTGTAGTTATTAGAGGCTGCCTGCTTTCATGTATTGAGCTCCATCGTATATCCTTTCATTTTCGTAATGAAATTCTCTGGCAAAAAAAATAAAACAAAATAAGAACTTGATCCACTTATAATATGTCCAAACAATCGATATGACACATAAACAAACAGTACCTCCTGAAATGTTGAAGAAGTGAAGCCGCCATAGTTGTACCAAATTGAACAAGCTGCAATGGCCATGCTTCCCTAGAGATGCAAATAATTTACAATTTACGAATAAAAAATGACCAAAAATAATCCTTATTTCTCTTAATAACTGAATCTTTCTCATTCCAAAATATGGTGATTCAGATGCAAAACAAGCCTGTCATTACTTTAAAAGCTTTTGTAGGATGGATATGGAAGTATGCCAAGAACAATATAAAACAACAAATAACCAAGACAGCAGTAGAATAACAACCACCAAATGCCTTCGGTTAATGTATGCATAAATGCTACAACCTTCTTTTCCCCAAAGACAAATCAATGTTCATGGTAGTATACAAAATATATATTAACTTCATCACTTGCTTCACTTGACCCATCTCTTATACTCATCCTGTTTCAAGCATTTATTTGTCCAAGAAACTGATAGAAACAAATTTTGGTACTACAAAAAGCTCAAAACCGTACTATTTATCAGCTCAGCTGCCAAGGCAAAAGGAACCTAGTCTCCACCTGTAAGGGCCAGAAGTGATTGAAACAATTATAATATTGCAACAACATTAAAAACCTTACCTTCAAAATTGTAGAAGGCTTAACAAGATAATGTAGAATTTCAAAAAACCACTTTTTGTTTGAATTGAGATAATATTACAAATGAGTCCATCTACATGTAATCGTGTATGTACATGGAGAGAGAGCAAGAATATTATCCATCACCAGTTGCAACATCAGCAGCTTTCTGATTCTCCTGCCTTACAGGAGAGGTAGGCAGACACTCTGCTGAAACAGTTTCCTCAGGCACAGGACCATTGCCATCGTTAACAGTTTCCTGCTGGCTGATCACTTCAACGTGATCTTGAGCCCCACATCTAACAACGAAAGGTTCATCAATAGAAGACAGCTCCGCAGAGGTTTCACGAGCGGTGGGGTCAACACGGGGATGTGACTCACTAGAATTTGACTTTGATGAAAAGTCTTGATTTGATTCTGGGCGCACAGCCATCACACTGCCAGCTCCCTTCGTATCATGATCAAGATTGGAATTTTCTGCCATGCTATCTTGAAACTCTTTTACTGGCATGTCACCATCCATGGAGGGTAGGATCCGACTAGTGCTTCCATTCTCATTTTGCGCGCACATCTGTCCATTCTCTTCAGTTCCACCTGCAGCTTCAACCGTATTGACCAGAGGCGAATCAACAGAGGCAGAGACTGATGTGGATGCAAAAGTATTGTAAATTTCGGGGTTGAAATTTGCTTCCTTTGCATCATGACCAAGATTGGAATCTTCTGCAATGCTATCTTGAATTCCTGCTAATGGGACAACAGCATCATCCATGGGGTTTACATTCTGAATTGTGATTCTACTATCATTTTGAAAGAACATCCCTCGATTCTCTTCAATTCCACCTGCAGCTTCAACCATATCAACGAGCTGTAGATTACTGGAGTCAGAGATCACTGCAGAAGTATTGTCACTCTTTGAAGCAAAATTCACCTCCTTTGCATTGTGACCAAGACTGGAACCTTCTGCCATGCTATTTTGAAATCCTGCTAATGGGACATCATCATTCGTGGAGTTTAAGTTTTGACTTGTGCTTCCATTCTCATTTTGCAAGCCCGTCCCTCTATTCTCTTCAATTTCACCTGCAGTTTCAACCACATTGAGTAGCTGTGAATCAACAGGGATGGATATGGATCCAGCAGTATTGTCAATTTTGGGTTCAACATGAACTTGGTGAGGAACAGCTAACGGTTCGTCGTCAGTTGTGTAAACACCAATCTCATTGACCATTGTGCACTGGTCTTGTAACTCCAGTGTAGGTACAAATTGTGGCTCCATATCCATAGCAATTTCACCAGAATCTTTGTCCAGGATATCATCTTCAAAACCATTTAGACTTGTAAATGAATCATCTGTAGATGGAAGATTCTTAGTTATGTCTGGGCCTGCATCAATCAACACTCTCTCTCCGTTTTCTGTGGCAACAGAAAATAATCCTGATGAGGGGGTACAGAGGGATGCTGGATCAACTTCCATCTCAGCACAAGAAACTTCTACTCCGTCTCTTTCACTACAAATGCCATTTTCACTTGCTACCTGATCAAGCAAGGAACCACCCAAATCATCCATGATACGCTCTGGAACCTTCTGGCCAATTGCAGAACCATTTTCTGCACAAGATGAGATGTTCTCATTTGTACAATGGTTCTCATTTATCTTATCTCTCTCTTGATTAGCAGCAAGCAGCCCAACGGTTTGTTGCTCAGTAGGATCCACAATGGTCTGTACGCTCTCTTGATCAACCAGTGTGTTTAACTGACTTTGTACCCAGACAGCAAGAGAAACAGCATGATCCCGAATCAGAGAGTCATGGGGTGGGCAGTGTAACATATTAATCAAAGCCTGGTTATATTGAAACATGCTGATAGATGGTAAACTTAACCCTTTATTGCGAAAAACCTTAATAATTTTGAACACATGCTCACAGACGTTGCCCATTTCTGCCCAACTGCAATCACAGATTGCAAACTCTGTACCTGGGTTAAATACAACATGAGCTCTTTTTCGATCTTCCTGGTCAACAACTTTTGCACATTTACCCACCATGACAACATCAGAGTCGGGAATCTTCAAGGATTTGCGCCAAGATGTTAAACCACTCATCCATTCATCCTTCCAATATCGTGCAAAATCATCTTTTCCTGAATACTCATCAAGCCAGAAGTAGGAATGCACTTTAGTACCCAACTTATCAACCAACCAATCAGCACGTTGATAAACACCAGAATCATTATCATTTAGCAACCTAAGCTTCATTTGGTTATGGTAAAATTCCATAGCTGCACAAGTCTCTTGGCTTGCAAGCGGAAGAGTTTTGAGGATAGTAGTCCATGAACCTGAGTCAGACAGCAAATTATTTATAAATAAAATAAAATTGACTGCCACATAGGATAAATGGGGGAGTGGGGAGAGAAAGAAAACGAGCAAGCTATTACTGTTACACACATTCACCATGTAAAAAAATAATTTGATCTCCTTACCAAGCTTGCCCCAATTAAAATTCTAACTCGTCGGAATTGATAATATCCCCCCAAAAGAAGATCATACAAACAACCAGATCAATTATTATTAATGTTGTAGAGATTTTAGAATATGATTTAGCTGAACAGGATATCCAAACAGGTATATTCCGGGTTTTATGGTCCACCTGACAAGCGGTTCACCAATTCACCAATCCCAATGATGGCAATGCATGCTTGATGAATTGCAATAAGAAATCCCAATGACACTAAATTTATTGTGAGAGGGAAAAGAATAGAAAATAAAAATCCCTTATTCTGAAAAAAGATTAAGAGTACCTATTCTAGGATACCAAATCGCCTTGAAATAATCCATGAAATCTGCTCCATCAATGAAATCTTCCATAAAATTATCAAACAAATCCATGGTTCCAATGCCTCTACAGACGCTGTACACTGCCTGACCAAGCCGTCCTGATATCTCAGCACGCATCTCAATCTCCGAACATCTCTTTATTAAGTTCTTATGCCATGCATGACGAACCCGCCAAAAGGATATCAATACAGAGCACTGAAACACTTCCCTGCGTAAAACAATTTTTTATAAGTATCCTCCCTGCAGACAAAGATATACCACACCATGCAAGTAATATTTGCTAGGAAAACGCACAATGTTTTATCTCTACATTCTACAATGACCTGCTGCATTGCAATGAGTTGTCTACACACTCGTTGATCTGAACTTTCTAATGCTACCTCTCGGGGGCTGGATGTGAACTGTAAAACCAAAAAACAGAACTACCAAACATTCAGCATGTCATCGAACCTTTCCATGAGCAATGCTATGCGATGAAGTTCAATACTTTAGACAGTTGGGATCACATTGTTAAGAAAACTTTTGGACCAAAATGGATAAAGAGGTGGGGCATCAGAAAGATTATCCAAATCAACAAGCACGTGCCCTTAGTGTTAAGCAAGCAGAGACGGACCATTGCAGGGAATGAGGGTGTTAGAAAACTAATTTTCATCTGGAATCAATTTATTTAGACACCCAACAATTTTCTTCAACAATATATATGTCTATGCTGAGATCTAATGGATCCAATGCTGACAGCATGGCCCCAGACTCTACCCACTAGTGAAGACTCATCAAAAGAGCTGGAATCAATATTTAAAAACCGTAGACATATTAATCAAAAGGACAGTCAGGTATCAATTGCACCACTGTTAGGCTATGGATCCAGGAATACATATAAACTGAAGGTAATGACTGGACCATCTTATCATCCTAGTTAAGTCAGATGAAAAGCTAAGCAGCCAACCTGATTGTGAGGATGTCAGCCAAAGGATCATCCACTATGAACCCAGCCAACTTCCACATGGGATCTTTTGTGTGAACTCTGTTATAAAGAGCCCTCATCCATCTATGGGTATCCCCACATGCAAATCTTGGTGCTATTATCCATGCTACTGGGATGGCCTTGTTGTCTGAGTTGAACACAAGAAGACTATGAATGGGATACTGTATAAAAATGCAGAAAAGAGAATAGTGAGCTTCTGATGTATTAAAGCACCAGGCAAATATGGACAATGACAGCATAAGAAAGTAGAGCACAAACTGAAAAAACAGACCTTCAATTTATTTGTTCCAAACCTTGAATCCGAAGCCACAAGGCCACGATTTCCAAACCGTATCATTTGTTGCAATTGCCACTCTGTTTGAATACCCAAGACAAAAGGATCGGAATCAGAGTAATCTTCATAAAAAAAAACATTATTCTGGTGGCTTTCAACCCACATGCTGATGCTGACTGCATCATCTGCATCCATTTCATATGTAGAACGCCTGATGCTCCTCTCCTGTCTCCGCACATATCTGTGAGTTAAAAGGTCATCACGATTACATGGCCCCCCTTGTCTTTCCACTGATTCATTGTGTCTCTGCATTATGGTTTCTACAGAAACCCCAACATATAGTAGAGATAAGACACGGAGGCGGAGATCCTCTGAGATATATGGGGCATACATAGCACGAGTTCCAGCAGCCTTCTTGTCCTGTGGACCATGGCACGGCAACCCTTTCTTATCCACATGCTTATCCTGATTATATATGATAAGTGCAACTGACGGCTCAGCAATTAAGCGTTTCACAATAAAGTGACAGGTGCACCCTCTCTTTGTATTTGGCCGACCAGCAGGTTTCTTTTTCGGGACATAAGTACTCCTGCTGGGTCGAACAATGCCGCCCTTTCTGTGATCATCTGGACCAAACGAACACCAATACCTACAGAATCAACAAGATAAATTACATCTTGGTGGCACAAGACTGGTTACTAGGAATTATTGGAGGGAAAAAGAAAAAAAAAGTCAAACACTTACAAGATATACTCAAGAATGCCATCAACCTTTGGTTTGTAAGGCATCTCTGGAGGCCTACGCCTCCTTGCTTCAACATGAAATCTTGTAGGGCAGTCATTATTAGAGGATTCACCACGCACAAAATCATCCACTCTAGCAAAGGGAATCAGAGCAACTCTATCTATATTGTCACGCCAACCTTCCACCTTAGTCCACACAATATCAACAGCAGAGAACTCCAAGGTTGGAGGGTTTTGTACAGGAAGCGACAAAATCTCATCCCATCTGGCCATCTACAAGGATACAAGGAAATATTATGTTTTGAGTAGCATTCCTACTTGTTCGGTGGGATGATATTATATTTGTTCCTAGAACTTTAAGAACAAAGGGTGCATGGAAAGTCTGAATTTTCCCATTTCTCGCATCAGAGTATGAATCCTCCAACTTAGTAAGGTAGCAAGAACTGAAATCTAAACAAAGTAGGACTAGACCATCAGTAAATACCAACTCCCTTTCTCTAGGTCATTCTGATTTTAGACCATATACAATTAAGACACCATAAGCTAACATGTCTAGATTTATGTTTTGAGTGCTTGCTCTGAAAAGCATGCATAAGTGGAGCAGGAGTTCAGTATTCCAATCCAAATAACCTGGAATTTAAAAAAAAAAATTTGTTACCTAAATGGTGGAAAGGCAGGGTCATGATTAAATGATCTTCATCCAAATAAATAAAATAAAATAAAACTACATTCCTCAACTTCGATGCTATAGGAAAACAAAAATTGAAAGGCCTATTTGGTTGTGTTTCCATTATCCCTTATCGTTTTCTATAATAAAGGAAGTGTTCTTGAGAACAAATTTTTGAATTTTGAAATCAGTGAAAATGCATTTGGTAGCTACATCCAAAAACAGAAAACTCAGAAAAATGTGTTTGGTGTAGCAATTCCGGAAACAAGTAAAATAGTGGAAACACGTTTTGTGGCACTAGAGCACTCTCAAGGTTGAATTATGATTCTCAAGGCTCAACCAAGGGGGGGGGTGTGGAAAATAATGGTGTGTATGATGTATGAAGATATCAATGATCAAACATAATTGTACACATTGAATAGATCCTAAGCATTCATTGAGACATCACTAATACAGCTTTCGGTGAGACCAATCCCTCTGTAGCATTACAAAACATATCAATATATTTTATCGGTTAACGAAACACACCATTATTTTCCATATAGAAAATAAATGAGCATGGTTGATGTTAGCTAATGTCCAATTCCAACCATTTCATGATTATAATTGGCTACAGGTGAAGTTCTGGAGGCAATAAGCTCAGTCCGATTCATCAACAATAGTTCAATTGGTTATATGTCAAGGGTTTTTATGTGTGATTTTCATTCTTCGTTTAAAATGCTTTGATGTAGTGTCTGTAAAAAAGATTCTTACCCATTTGTACAATGAGTTCAATTCGAATGAAAAAGTACTATATAACCCCCATAACCTAGAGAAATCTTTAGATAAGTTAACTGCAAATACCATTGTGTTTTCAAGTTTCCAGAGCTTCTATTTACAGGCCAACTGAAAGGGAGACAGAATTTTAAATAATGATGAAATGCACATTAACCCATTTTATTGTGTCTCTCTCCTGGCATTAAACCCATTATTTACAGTCAAAAAAGAAAAATGAGTTTCAAAGTAACATAGCATAGGGTCATCCCTTCTTCTTCATGTGGTTTGTACAGCACTGCAGGGCAGGACACATGAATCCAACCATAGATTTGAAAAGAACTCATACCTTCTTCGTAAAGGAATCAACTGATATGAACCGCAGGATTCCCGATCTGTGATTGTCACCGCCTTTCGTTTGATTCCAGTGTAAGGAAATCAAGAGGGGTTTCAAAGGAAAAGTGAGAAATGGATTTTTGTTGGTTTATAATTAGGGGTGGACATGAGGGCTGGTGGCTTTGCGGTCCACCTAACCCAATTCGATATTTTTAAGATTTAAAATATATTTTTTAATTCATGAAATTAGACTAGACCAAGATTTTGAGTTCATTTATTTTTTGCCCCGGCCCGGCCCGGTCCAAAAATTAAAAGGATTAATTTTAATTTTATTATTTAGTTACATACTAAAGTAATAAAATATAAAAAATAAGAAAAATTACATTTTTTTAAAAGCTTAAATTCAAACATTTGTGTAAAATACAAAAAAGCATTTATAATTTGAATTTTGTTAATAGCCTCAATTAAAATAAATTTTAAACGGGCCAAACTCATTTAAGGCTCCAAGATCCCAGAAAAAAATTAGTATTCATATATACTGAGTTAAGTGGACAGGCTTGGGATTGTTAAATTAGGCCTAATGTCGAGTTAGGCTAGGCTTGAAATGACACATGTTCTTTCTGTATAGAATAAGCCTAGCCCAAATCCAACTATGTCCAATCGAAACCCCTCTCTAATTTACATAGAGGGAATAAAGTTACGATAAATGTAGCCTCGTGTTTTCATTTTACTCTATTTTCAGAGTTCTGATTAGAAAAATAGGCTACATCTTTTGGATGATTCTAAAAATAAAACCAAGTTTCCAAATTATTTCTTAGAAAATGAAAACAGAAAAGCACTTTTTTTGTATAAAACAAGAAATGGAGTAGGAAAATAAAAAATGAAAACACAACCAACGAGCAAGAAGAGTCTGTGCCATGGGGACTTTTCCAAATAGTTCTAAAATATTAAATGATAAATTACACTAACCTCCCCATAGATTTAGAGAAAATATAGCAAGTCACACAATTTTGGCATAATTACATTGGGTTCCCATAAAGTTTAAATTCACATAACACTTAACTCCCTTTTTCATCAATAATTCGTTTAGTCATAGAGATGGGAAAATGATAGTATCATCTTTTTTACATTGAAATGTATATTTTTCCTTATTTACCCTTGTGCCTTCATACCATCTGCATTAGTTCCGGTCCCTTTAGCCTTACTAAAAAAAGAAGTCAGTGTAAACCTCAGGAGAAGTTAATGTAATTTACCCAATATTAAATTTGAATAATCAAGGCTATTATACAATCAAACCATAAAACAATTTTTGAAGTAAAAGTGAATAAAGAATCCTAAAAACCATAAAAATGAATATAGTATTATAAATAAAAACCATATCATATGGTATAATAAATAAATGACATAACAGAATCCAATGAATGGTAGCAAAACCAAAGTAATATGCTAAACCATATATATTGAATTGAGCGGAAGGCTATCTATACCAAAGAATAGAAATTTAAATATATATATATATATATATGCATATATTTGATACATAGGCCCCGTTTGGTGGAGCTGTGGGAAAGTGATTATAACTTATAGCCTAACAGCTTATAGCTTATAGCTGTGAACATAAGCTGATTTTTTACTTATAAATTAAGCTTTTTCTCTTCCACCCAAAGAATAAGTTAATTTTTGACTTACAAAAAGCTATAAGCTGTACTGTTAGGCTGAACCAAACACATCAAAATAACTTAAATTAAGCTAAAAGCTAAAATAAATTAGAAAAAAGTCCTACCAAACTGGGCCATAAATAATGTGGTTCATTCAACTCCTAATCAACCTTTTTTTTAAATAAAGGATCTCGGGTCCTTGACTCCACCAACCACATACCACCTAACCTATAAGCCCAATGGTGTCTCCAATCAATTAAAAAAACAAAATACCAGCACTCTGATTTTAATTTCAAAACTACTATAACAATATCTTCTACGGGTAGATTATGTTTTATAAAGCACGGGTCGAGTACGGGTACGAGCACGGGTATGGGTATAATACAAGTACGTCGATACGGTAAAATTCAAGAAAAGTAAGGTACAAGTATGGGTACGGCTTGGGTTTAGTACGCTTGTAAAAAAATATTTATTTTAAATTTTAAGTAATGCAAAAATTAATTAAATGATTTAATTTACTAAGATCCAACCTATAATTAACATTTAATATCAAAAACAAATGTATAAATCAAAATTAAATGTCAATATATTAAATAACTTACAAACCATACTTTAATTTTAAAATTATGCTAAGCATAAAATTAAAAATAAAAAAGAAGCCAAGTGAAAGAAATTTTATCTCTGTAGTAGAAGAAAATATTGTTTTAACTAAGGAGCGATATGGCTTGGGTATATACTAGGTACATCTGGGTATACCAAAAATTAAAAAGAAAAAATTTAGGTACATGTTTCGTATACCCAATATGTATGCAGAAATACCATACGAAGTACTATACACCGATAAATACCCAGTACAGATACGACATATTTTTCAAAATACCCATACTTCACAGATTATGTTGAATCTCTCTTTACATGACATTTTTGTTAAAATAATTATATGTAACATACACATATAAACACACACACGCACACACAATAGAACGAGCTTACTAGTTTAAAGCAATCACATCATGACATATTTGTTAAAATAATTATATGTAACATACACATATAAACACACACACACACACACACAACAGAAAGAGCTTACTAGTTTAAAGCAATCACATCATAATGATTTCATAAACACACTAAAAGATATCAGTAAAAATAGCATAAAATAAAGCATAACCAATAGTCATTTTTTATTTTATTAACACCATGCTTATTGAATTTGTTTGTTCATGGATGCTATTAAATTCTCCAAATATAAAAATATGTACCCAAAATTATTGACTATCTCTACAAAAAAAAAAATTCAAAACCCATAAAACAACTCAGGATACTATCACTCTAGCGTCTATGTTCGAGAACTCAACACATGAAATTAAACAACTTAAGCCATAATTGCTACTTTCTCCTTCAATACTCCCAAAACTAGAAATTACAAGAAGCATAATTTTTTATGTAACAAGCTTTCTTTGTTTTATCAAGAACCTAAAATAATTCTCTCTCATATTGGAGAGAAAGGGCAAGATACTAAAATCAAGATGCCAGGACAAAACAAATAAGCAAAATATTTGAGATAACATGAAGATTATCAATCCATGGCAAATCACATTGTTGACCACTCTAATTTGAGTGAAGTTTCACTTTAGTCCTCGTAGTTTCAATTTCATCAATTTAAACCCCACACCTCCAATTATGTTTCAATTTGGTCCCTCCATCAATTCCCATTAGCACTTTCGATGGAAAAAGGCCACGTACAACTCAAGTGAAAATTTTAGCAATTCCAACACAATAAAGAAAAATGAACAAATTACACTCGTAGTCCCTATAGTTTCATTTGAATTCCAATTTGGTCACTCTAGTTTTGTACGTGTTGCTTTTCTATCCAAAATGTTAACGACAACTGACGAAGGGATAGAATTAAAATGAAAATAAAAGTACTAGGTTTAAATTGATTAAATTGAAACTATAAGGAGCAAAGTGAAATTCCGTTCTAACTAGAGGGACCAATGGTATAATATATGCCTATATGTTAATACGGAGATAAAGAGATAGGCAAGAGACATGGTGAAGTGACAATGTCGAGAAATTAAATTGTATCTATCAATTATCATTCACAAATTTTTTTGGCTTAAAACCAATAAGAACTATCCTTGCAAACCTAACACTATAGTTGTTAAAGGACTAATTACACGAATAGTTAGGGAAGTATGCTTTTGTTGCACTTTAGTCATCAATCTTTTAATCTTGTCAATTTAGTCCTCAAACTACTATTTGTGAGTTTAAATGGTCCCTAACGAAAGTTGGGCTATTTATGTAATCCCTGCTCCTCTTAAATCAACTTAGATGGCATGACCATTGACGACCATTTTAACACACATTTTGTAATTTGGGGATCAAATTGATGAAATCAAAAGATTGATAACTAAAAGTATTTATCCAAAAGAAAAAGTTTGATGACTAAAAGTGCAACCAAGAACATACTCCACTTTATTTGGGAACCTAGGAGAGAAGAAAATAAATAACTACATAATTTAGGAGAGAAAAGATTGTGGTTTCTCTCCCTCATGTTTGGATAAATAGGAGAGAAAATAAAAGAAAAGATAATGATTTCTCTCCTATCTTGTTTGGTTAAACTAGATAGAAGAAAATAAAAGAAATTGTTTCATATTATATTACCAAAATAGCCTTTTATAGGTGTCACTTTTTTATTTCTTCTATATCTAAAGGGGCAGTTTTGATATTATAATAAAATAGTGATTAGTTGATTTCTTTTCTCTCCCAATCTCTCCACTTTTGGAGAGATTCAAAGTGAGGGTTATAAGAGAAATGGATTTCTCTCTATTTCTTCCCATTTCAATTCGTTTCTCTCCTCTTTACTTATCCAAACAAGTGATGTGGACCAAAAGAAATGTATTTTCTTATCTTTTCTTTTCTTTCCAAATCCAATCCAAACGGGCTGTTACAGACCCTTAATGTAACTATTCTTCTTATGTGTACTAAATATATATATATATATACAAGGCCAATAAGTAATTCAGTTCACCATTAGACCCTAGGGGCAATGCCACATGTATGGGGCCCTCAAATTTTTTTTAGGGTAAACTACCAATAAGTCTTAGCCTTCGTTTGATTTTCTTTGTAGGCTATATAATTACAAAAGACAAAAAAAAAATTACAAAATCACAAAAAAAACAAAAAAGCTACAAAAGTACCAAACTACCCCATATACAAATAAAAAGTTAAAAAGGCATTATTCTATACTAAGGGCAATTTTGTCATTCTAAAGCCAAAAAGTCAAAAAAGCAAACAAGAATACCAAACGACTAAAAAAGTCTCAGGCTAAAAAAGTCAAAAAAGCCAACTAAAAAAGCAAAAACCAAATGACACCTTAATAGTTGGACTTAATTTTCATCAAGTCCTAGTAAAATCATCTTTAAAAAAAAAATTTTGTGACAATTTTTTGCATGTCGCTAAAAATTGACAATTAATGACTTTTTTTTGTCACGTTTTTATAAATTATCGCTAAACTTACAATTAACGTTTTCCTATGACAAATTTTTTAAATTGTCGCTGAAAATTAAAAATTAGTGATTCTTTTGTGATACTTCTTTTAAACTATCACTAAAACTTATAATTAGTGACATTTTTTTATGACAAAATTTTCAAACTGTCGCTGAAAATTAAAAACTAGTGACGTTTTTTAGTAGTGTTTGATGAAAAGCCATTAACTATCATAGAACATACACGTAAGTTCTCGATTTTTTTAGAGATAATTACCCGCAGGTCCTATTAACTAAACTTATTCATAAATCCTATTTTTTTAACCTATTTGCCCCTCATTTTGATAATGAGAAAATTTTGAGACTTTTTAGATATGTTTTATGTTTGTACAATGATTATTTGGTAATGGTAATGATACTGATAAATGATTGGTATATTTTGACTTTTGTTTATGAATTATGATTTATTTTTAATTTATTTGTGTTAATTTATATTGAAATATGATACTTTCTAAATAAAAAAAAAAAAATATTGAAATATGATGTTTGAAGTATAAATAATTGAATTATGTTTTTAAAAAAAACATTTTTATAGTGATAAATTTAACACTGAAAATTGAATAGAATTTCTTGATAAATAAATTTAGTGGCCAATCTATTTTAAATTTACACTATACATTTTACTTTTAATATAAATTTTGAACTACAAATAAACATTTATCAAATAAGATTTATGCAATCCATTAATAAAAACATGGAAAAATGATGACAATGATTATGATAAGGGTGATGATATGAGTGAATATAATTTATACATTGCATAACTTTTGTTGAAAGATACACCTTTTTGCATTGTCATTTGTCATCCCTGAAAAAAATTTAAACCCCTTCAGCTCATTGGATTGTCATTTGTTACCCCTCAAAAAAATATTTGAATGCCTTAGTTGTTAGTTTATGTGAGCCCACTACACCAAATATTGAATACACTTTTTATGTTCAACCAAACCTACTCAAAAAAATTTTTTAAAAAGTTTATGTAAATATTGAGTGGGCCATTAAAATTTAAAAGATTTGCAAAGCAATGTTGATAGTATCATCTCAAGTACAAATCCCTTATAACAAATTGCACATCTTGAGATTCTGGATCCTTTGATTTATTATTTTTGGACTAAAAAATCCTAGAAAATAAATTTTTGAAGTAGAATTACAAATAAATAAATCTACCAAAAACGAAGAAAAGCAAATAAAAGTTCTTTTGTCAATAATCAACTTTTGTCCTCTGTAGTGAATTTCTCAATTTTTCTTCATATATAACGAAGAA